GCCAAAGTACCATCGATCGCCGGGCGATAATTCGGCCGATGATGATCGCTTCAATTTTCCATGTGTCGATTGCGACGGTGAACACCGTCGTCGGACGAGCGGATACCATTTTTCTCGCACGTGAGATTGCTGCGCGTGGCTCTTAACAAACGTAAAGTCATTGTTATCGGACGTTCGAAGGGGACGGGTTTCCGGCGCGAGAAAGAAACGGCAGAAGGAAAACTGATGAGTCGAGGCAACACTGATCGATCTTGGACTATTCTTGACGGGGTTTATAAACGAAGCGCATTAAGGCGGACTAACCGCCGCTATTTAGTACCGAAGGTAAACTCAAACGCTAAGTAATTAATTTTTAAGTGAACCTTGCATAGATTCTTCCCTAGAAAATTTTCCGAAAAGGAATTTCGGCGCAGCTATTAATAGCGGATTGCATATTGGCGCTCGAATGGAAGCGCATGAATAAACAAGAGACATTAGACGCGCGCGCGAGATTGACGTGAAACCATTATATGATCTCTATTTATATCATCTGAATGGAAGATTCCTGATGAAAATTTCGTAGAAATATTTCTACCTCGAAACATGATACACGGGATAAAATTTTCGATTGTGTATTTATGAAAAATTCACTGGATTCAACTTACTTACATCTCACGTCTATAAAACGGCTGCAATACTATAAGTCTTCAGATCATATATTAAGCAGACCATGGTAAATGAAATACTGCGAGCAACCGAATTAATTCTCTGCATTTAAAACTTATGAGGCAACTAGTATAAAAAGCGTGCAAAATGTACAGCGTGAAAAGGATAAAACTCGCGACGGTGCAACGCAACGCGGATAGCTCAATGCGCATTTAATTAGCGGTGAATTTTTCTCTTGCGTACCTCTAACGAGCGTACCGCGACGCTGCATCGCGGCAATTGAAAACAAAAGAGAAATGCGAGATAACGTCGTGTCTAAGAGTGGAAGCAAAAAAAAGAATGTATATGTACCTACATATATATGATACGTTCGCTTACATACGTTCGAGGACGGACGCGAATATCCGGCTTTCGTTAACCGTTCGCGACTCGATTTGCTCGGATGCATGTCATTCGTACCGTGTAAATATCGCGGGGAAATCGAATTTACCCGTCCAGTGGCGTATGTTCATGGTAAACGAGGACATTGCGAATTTCCGCTATTCATTAGGCAACCGTTCAGCCTTATCTCCCGCTTACGTATTATCATAGTTATTGAATATTTCAATCCCATAAACCGCATTCGCTCCTCATTAATTCATACTCGTAATGAAAGAATTTAATTATAACAATTGTAATCCTACATTCATAATTACGTCTTCTCATCTGATACTGATATATAAATGACTTCATTTGGATATTGAAATATCACAAAACTAAAAGATCAAGAGATAAAATAGAAAAATCATTATTGCATAATGTCGTGAAGCAATCACAGAAGAAAGATTTCTCGTAACATTTTCCAAGAACAAGAAAATACGTGTCTCGAATGATTATTATTACACCTATACGAATCTTCGTTCTTTTGCTTTTGCCTATCTCACTCCCATTTACAGTGCCACATCTAGATTGAATGGAATGTAAATTACACTTATCGCATTCATGCCGGCAATTATTCAGCGCGGCGCTGCAAAATTTCCTATAGCGGGACGTGTGTACCGGTTTTTTAAAGGGCAGACTCATTCCTTTCGCAGAACGCAACCTGGCTCTAAAAGTACCATGTATCCCGGAATTCGGTAAAAACCAACCTGGTTGCTCCAGCGCCGGAGTCCGTCTGGGTCATCCAGAGAGAGAGAGAGAGAAAGCTCTTCCGGGCGGATCGAAACGCAGCTGCAGCTTCTCTACGGTACGGGATACCGCCGCCGCGCCGCCCTTCTTCTCTTCGGGCTGACTCGCGGCTCGATAGAAGCGAAACAACTCCTTCGGCACTGCACACCGCCGGGGTAATGCGCGACGAGAGCGGGACGCCTCGTGTACCGGCGATCACCGGTCGTGCGATCCATGCGACACTCTCCGCGGAGGCGTCGCGACGCTCACTGCGGAGACTCCGCCACGTACCCGCCCTTATAGCATCGTGTTGCGCTCGCACTGCGCCCCCTGTGCCCCCTGACCACCCTTCCACCTTCCTAGTCCGCCGCACCACCGCCGCCACCCTTTCCCACGTTCCTCCCTCCCCACCGACGCGCCTCTCGCGCGCAACCCCAACCCTCTCGCGGCCCACCTTACGGGATAACGCGAGCGAGGGACCGACCGGTGCATTCTTCGGAGATACTTGGTCGCCTGCCGGTGCAGCTTCAGGTATAGGAGCGAGGGAATGGGCGCCTTCGTGCTCCTTCGGTTACTCAATCCTTTGTTTGCGATTGCATTACAGCGGAAAAATACGCTTCGCCGTATCCTGCGCTCGCTTTATCGTCGTCCCGTGCGCGGACGATATACGTTTCGAGGATCTGCGTATCAAAGGTCTACTGACGGGACGCGGATGACCAAACCTTCTGCGTAAACTTTGCGTCGACATTATAGTAAACAGATCGGTAAACCATTCTAGAAAAATTAATGTGACGAAAATCTTTACAACAAGACGCTCAACGTGACATTTTCTTTTATTATTATTTTATTTACGACGCTCGAAACTAAATTAACATTAACATAGCAACTCCGGTACTTGTGTAAATTTCATGCTTCGTAAATAGCCGAGTCGTTCGTCATAAAGTCCCTTCCGGAAATATTGTAACGCGGTACACGTCAGCCACGTGCTTCAGAAATGGCCGAGATATTTGCTCGAGCTTTTTTTCAGCATTTTTATATGGAATCAATTTTAGAGCGTGCAACGCATTCCCGGCCCGTCGAGGCAATTAAATTAAAAGTCGCACGTATCAAGAGAAGTAATTTCTGCTTTTACGGCACGTTCAGGTGGACTCGCGTATCAGTTTACGGAACAATGCAGCTGCTCAAGGGATAAAAGTGCCTCTACCTCGGAGTTTCGGCGCTAACAAAGTTATTTACCGCGTCGGGCGCAAATGCCAATTTAAGAGGTAACCGCTATAATGACGCTAAAGTCAAACCGACGAGCTGATAAGATTTAACTTGTTGAGCGTCGCGACAGACATTGAGCGTCGCTAGCGAGAAAATACATCTCCGTGCAACAAGAAACTTTAACTCTGGAAATGGTTCGGAGCATTTCTAGATGTCAGCGAGTTAATTCCGACATTTACATTCGCGTAACTCTCGATCGATAAAACGCTGATTTCCCGACAGTGACAAGTTTGATAACGGAGATATATTCTTTACTGCGCGAATAAATAATATAAATTTTTATTCTCGCGAATTGAAAATTGCGAAATGGAGTATAAAGACAATTTGAATTATGTCAATGTCGCAAAATTTTTCGCTGTCAGGAACTGTCATTTCTTTCAATAGCTCTGCGATTCTCAATTAAATATGTAACAGGTAACGACAGTATCAGTGCGCAATAATAAAACATTGAATTATTTCATCAAGTGTGCATAAATCAACAGAAATCAATGATATTATGCTCGCGCCGTGTTTGCTAAATTTTGATTATTTTAAGTTTTCTATTATTATATTTATTTAAAATTTTTTTATTTCCCATAAAAATAAAAATAATATTGACTATTCATACAGAAAAGGTTGATACAGCATATAATTTAATAATTATTTTTTAAGAAAAATAAACTCATCAAAAAAAGTCTTCTTTTTAAAAACTTCTTATATTTCTTTAGACTCTAACATATCTAATATTTCCGTAATGAATGAACAACAACGTATAATAACATTATAAGACTGATGTTACATTCAACTTTCTTTTACGACAAAACATATACTTGTATGACACGTGTTGTCGCTCTAGAAAATTGCGATCCTGAGTAAGGTCGACACGCATCGCATTCAGCAGGGTGCTATAAAATCCTTATCTAGTTAATACCTAAGAGATGAAGATATGTATCAAGACGTAATGTTAAAAATATATATATAAAAAAAAAACATTCTTTGTGACGTAGTTATTCGTTGAGATAATGTAGCACCATTTAGACTTGACCAAATATGTTTGAATTATACGTATTTGTTAGAAATATATATTAATTAGATAACGTGATTACAACTTGGCTAAAGAGCAGAATTCTGTCGCTCATTTACGCTATTTTTAGATATTACATCTATCATTCTGACCGTATTTTCGACCACCAAGTCTTCAGCATCAGTAATTCATCCATCGTAGGGACACACGCGTATCACGGTATCCAAACTCATCAGGGGGGAAGAAAAACCCAAGGGTCAGAGCTCAAAGAAGTGCTTCTTTCGAGGGTTAGACTCCTTCGTTCGTGACATGACCCCAACTACTTCTGTCAGGCGACCACGTGGTTATCCAGCTATGTTTCACATGAATATCTTTTTTATGCTTTCTTTCATCAATGGATTATACAATGTTTAATGTAAGATGCTTAAATAAAAAGAAAAGAGATTTGTTATTCAAGAAAATTACCGTACGATTACATTACAATCAGCATATAATGAAGCAAGTTATTAAGTGAAACATTTCTTGAAATGTACAATTTAAAAAATTTCAAGGAAATTAAAAATATATATAATGTTTACAAAAAATTGATCAAATAATTCTTCCTAACACTTGATATCCTAAAATAAAATTTGTCAAAAGGTTTACTCACACACACACAATAACTCGCTTAATATTTTATTCAGTATTGTTTCCGTGGATTTTGCAAGGGTATTACACATTTCAGTGATACACAAAGTGATATGTGTATCAAGAAAGAATAAACCCCAACATATGATTTCCGCCTCACTGAAGAGGAAAAAGAATATGCGGGTCATGCCCTTAAAAAAGCTGTCTTTTCGACGATCCACGCGGGACAGCCCTTCAGTTTTCCAGCTGAGAGGATAATACTGGAGTGATTCTGCGGCCATTCCCGAGGATGCGGGACAAAATTAAGCAATACTAATGTGAAATATCTTGTTTATTTGACAACAGTTTCGCCTTCTCCGGCGTGGAAGCGCCGCAAAGTTATTGTACAAAAATTATTGACTTTTGCTGTACACACCTAATCGCTAGCGACTATTTACAGCATTTTCAAATATCATGTAGAAAATATTCTTATAAAAAACAAAATAGTATCTTCAAATAATTCACGAACAATCTCGCTTTCGCTTCAACGTTCATTCGCGAAGATACGTATAAGGCACATATGTATTATCAAATTTTCAGACAGACGTAAATCATCGCATTGTAATTAAATGACAAGACGATGATTCGAGGAATTTTCCCCCCACCCGAAACACAAACCGGAAGTTACGTAAATCCGCAATCGGTGAAAACGACAGTTTCACGGGGAAGCGACAGGTCGATCGCGAGTTTCTCTTGGAGAACTTCCTGCGCTCCTTCACTCCTACGTCTTCATCTTTTTTAACGCTCCCTTACACCACGGAATAGTCCTCGATCAGAGTCTCGCCAAAATGAGTTACAACGTAATCGTGATAATACATCATTATACAAAGTGGTTGCCCGATGATGAGGCTCGCCCATACGACGATGTTGCCCCATCTGGCGCCGCAGTATCGTTCCGCCATCTTGCTCAACACCGACAGTGGTATCTAGAATGAACAATTAGCGTTGCACGACCGGAATTTCCGTACTTGGGGACGGACAGGGTAGATCTTGTATGTGCACACAAGATGTAGTGCACCACGTAATTTCATGTAAAGCATAGGCAAATGATGTTGTAACGTCTGAAATCTCGGAATATGACAAAATGTAGATACATAATAATTAAAGGCACATTAACCAACATCTATTAAGAGTAGTTTAACTCTATAAGCGCTTTACACGCATTCTTTTTCCGATTGCAGTGTTTAATTTATTTAGAATTTTAAGGCTTGATCGCGAACTTTTTATTTTATTTTCCAAGATCAATAATGATCATCACCAGTCCAGAATATTATTGAAACTGTCTAAAGCCAGTCTTTGAAGGATCAACAAGAATTTCTTGATATTACAGTCAATATTTGCACATTCAACAATACACGCGAAGGAAACGCGGGCAACTCTTACCTGTCCCATCATACCCATAAACGCCCATATCTTGAACGTCTTCAAGGGTACGCTGACAAGATACTCGTGGAAGAAAGCGCTAATAAAAAAAACAGTTACCGACGCCGTGGTTTTACCATAGCCCATTTCTACTACTGGAATATAGAGATGTCTGTAACATAAATGTATCGTCAGTAAAATACATTGTATTCGAATGCAACATAATCAATTTTCATTTGTGTGTATGTGAAATCTGTTCAAAAAATAAAAGTGCAAGAAATATATATTTTTTTTATATTAAAATCATATAAATTTCTTTCTTTGCTTTTCTATCCTATAATGCTTTTGTAAAAAAAATTGCTCACGTTTCGGCAGAATTGCACATTCGACCTAATAGAATAACGCTCTAAACGACTCAATCGATTAAAGATTCTGATTCTAATCGTGGAAGAAGTATATTTAGAACACGTTCGCCTATTACGCAGACAATATCATTATCGGTGTCACAAAGGAATACGCATTTCTACGGTATCTCAGATGGCGTTATGCTACGAAATACACACGAAAGCCGTTAGGCCGATAAGGCAAACAAAAAGTACGATGGCACGAAGTCGCTCCAAAAAATTAAAGCAATATTCAAGAAAGTTTCACAACATTCCGGTTTGGTAACACTCTGCCATTATCGTTTTCGTTTGTATGGCCGAATAAGCAGAACCGGGCAACTCGGGAAAGAGTCGTTAGCCGCTTGGCTATCGGTGGAGATGCCATGCATCGAAAAGAGAGCAAGACGCGGAAGAACATTTTAAGAGAGAAAGAAAGAGAAGGAATGGAAAAAAGGAATATAAGAAGAAAGCAGCGGGAAGAAGAGAACATTCAAAGGTGGGACGACGACAGTTCTAAGGATTTCGGACCATGCACGTTTTGCCGCATCCTCGCGGGGAGTCTCGGGACTCCTGCTCCCGCCAGATCCTCCTGCGCATCCCATCGTGCTTTCTTTTCCTGCAATCAAAGCGTCTCCCTCGCGCAAGACGTTCGGAAATATCTCCAGTTATAGGGGTATTATAAGTGCCGCGGGGAATAAACAGCCTTAAGTGCGCATCGCGATGCGTATCGGCTTTTGCCATTACAAACCTGTGAAAAGGCGCCGACGGTGGTCTCAACGTTCTCGTCAACAACGACACACCTCCATGCGTCCTACGCCGACCCCCCCGTCGTCTAGGGAGCATTTCCATTTTCACCTCGACCACCCCCGCGCATCGCCGCGGATAGTATGGCTGCGTGCCAGTCGCAGCTTGCAAATGCAGCTACGTATCTCGGTCGTAGGAAAAAAAAAAAAAAAGCGAGCAACCGTAAGCGGGCAGGTGCGTCGCCGAGGTAGAAAGAAGCGCGAACGCCGGGGTGAGACTTTGAAATTCGCGTCGCGGAAACTCACGCGCGGCGGCGTCTCTTTAGCGAGCCTTATTTTTCTCCATTTTTGTGTCATTTAAAAAGGGAGCATGGCCAGTCATTCTCACGGTACGTGTCGCGTTTTATAAGGGTATGTCATAAGACAATCCCGCTCTGGTTATGCAGCGGTGGCTACTATTCTACGTTACGTCACGTCTGTCGGAACTAACTCGAGTAACGCGGTTCTCTTTAGCGCAATAAAATTAAGCTTCTTCATAGCGGTAATATTATTCGGGCTTAATGCCAATGCCCCCGTGAAGAAAAATCCGTGGAACACTTGATAAGCGTCCCAACGTAACCTGTCGCAAAATATCTAATATCCCACACGCGAAAAGCAGTAGATTGACTCTTTATACGACATTCATGGTAAACCTCGTGCAGTTGGTACATGGCAATTCCGACGGCTCCCCTTTCTCTCGGTCACATAATAAGAACTTCGTACGGCCACTTTTACAGGGATTTAAACTTTCTTTTGGGCTACTTTCGAAGTACAAAGAACCGGCGCGAGCTCTTGAAAGGAGGTCGTCACTATGGGCTCGAGTTGTTAGGTGCACGTGCGATGGGTAACCGTGGAAGATGGAAGGGCTGCCGGAAAAGTCTTTCGGAAGTTCGCTGATTGTATTGAGCGGGGGATGTATAATCTAATGTGGCGGCGACAGCCGAGACGTATGGGTTGAGGGAGACATTTTAGGCGAAATAAAAGGTTTCCACAAGAAAGCTCATTCTTATAAGACGAAAGACTGTCTCTCGTATATAACGTCTCACATTATATATATACTCCATATATATGTATAACTGTTTAAAAAATTTGTACACATATAAACTCGAGCTACTGCTCTCACAAGTTTATCAAGTTAATAAAACTTTCGTAATTTTATGAAAGAAGTTGATTGCACGAAAGTTAGAGACAACCAGTACCGTGACATTATTTTTCTTGCCTTGTTTGATGTTTGTACGTAATTGATAAGGCGTGTCGGCTGAGACTATACACGAATGTTTTTACGTTAAAATGACAGTCATAGTTGCGAAATAACCTCAGCGAGGCGCGTATTGCATTATTATATAATCATGTTATCTCTACAAGTCAAAGGTGCAAAGTAAAGCGCTGGAAGAGTTTTTCCTTCTATAGCGCAAAAGGTACGCGAGCAGCTGAGTATTATGGAACGGAGAGATGGCGAGGGTAAATAGCATAAGGGAGCGGTGTGTAAAAAAGAGAAAGAGAGAGAGAGAAAAAGAGGTAAAAGCGAGCAAAGAAGCGGAAGAGATGAGGCCGTCACTACAAGCCGGACCTTTGATCGACTTTCTCTGTTCAATCTAACCGAGGTTAAACTTCGTTAACAAGTATGCTTCTCTTTAAGAAGATTCAATTACATCTTTCGCGAATAATGATAATGTGATCTAACGTTCTATCTGCGCAAAAAGAGGAGTTTCCATGCATCAGAAACACCTGACCACGTGTATTTTTTGCGCAATTGATCACTTCACGATTAATTGTGTTAAACTTTGATAACTAACAAACGACGCGACGTTCTATATATATATATTGTTCGATCATAGCTACTATTTTATTATATCCCTTCTTAACGAACTTTTTAATAACTCGTATCAAGTTATCGTAGCAACAAATCACTAAATTATATGTAAAAAATCACGTATAATATAATCACGTTATCGTTTCTAAAATGGCAATAATGAATATTTCCCAGCTAATAATAATTAATAATGCTTTGAATAAAGAACATCGTTGTCAGTCGATTATCAAAATTTTAAGAATAGCCAACTCAAAATATAATTAAATAAAGTTTAAGAACTTTTTTCTTATCGCTTAATTTTCTCGAAAAGCTGATTCGTAATAATATTAGCGCACGTAGAAGATTATTTTTGACCAATTTTATAAAAATCAAAATAAAAAAGTTCCTGTTACCAAGTATTACCATGAACAGAAATTAATTTACTCACCGCACAGCCCAGCGATGCACTGGCATATTCCAGGTTCTCCAGAACGTATCGATATTATTGGCGTTCCACCAATCGTTGTAAAAATTTCGATCTGCAAAGTGTAGTAACTCACCCAATAGATTCAAAAAGGAGTGAAATATCAAGTAGAAGAAGCAAAGCCATATTAAATGATTTGGTATCTAAAACAGTAAAAATTTAACATGTAAGTTAAAGTAGTTAGAATCATTAAAGTCGCACGATGTCATTTATAACAGGCTTAAGAAGAAAAAACTTGCTACGAAGAAATAATCCACGTCAAGAATAGAAATGTATGAGTCTTGCTACGAAGAAATAATCCACGTCAAGAATAGAAATGTATTAGTCCGTCTAACATAAGAAAATTATTTCGTCAATATTTTATACAAGCTCGAAATTTCGATTATTCCTTTTCGATAAGAAAGTTTCAGACGTGTAATATTAGAAAATATAAATTTTTTAATATAATTGTATATTAACTTCTCCGGGACCGGAAGCTTAAGATTAGGCGCTGGAGTGGCGCCGTCTTTTTCGTAGTTCAACCCACTGACAAGGACAAAAATGTTCAAAATAGTTTTAAAACTAAAAAGGTCGTCCAAAAAAGAACCCGGTCCTGTAGAGGTTAAGAGAACGCGATTTTATTTTAGTATTAGATTAATAAATATATTCACACTTATATTTCCAGAGCACACTATCAGTTTTCCTCAATGTCACTGACAGAAGATTGATTTAATTCGGACACTGTTTATTCCTATTTTCTACAGCATGGAGAGATAATAACTAAATATACAATATTATTATTGTATTGTAAATCTATTTTAAATAATACATTTTCAATATTCCTTATAATCATAAATTTTTTCTAATTAGACATTACAAAATGAGACAAATTCTTTCTTAAAGTATTTCAGTACTGAAAATTATTCAAAAATAGAAGATATATATTTATTAAGAAATAAACACAGTATAGAGTATACAATTTTATATTTCTGTATACTTTACCACTGTTGTAAAGAATTTGCAATTACTATTTCCCAAACAATTTGCGAACGAAAGACACGTGATCGAGCGGTAAGGTACGTTCGAAATGCAAACGGCAAGGAGAAGAGCTGCGATTATAAAAAAATAAAAAATTTATCAAAGGTTTTTCACACACAAAGACACAAACACACAAACACACACACACACACACACACACACACACATATGCAATGTATCATGTTCTTAATGGACTGAATAGAATACGAATAAAACATCCCATAATAACGTAAAAAAAACTAACTAAAACGAGGATAATCAGGGTGCGGAGGCAGTATTATTTACGCATCTGCAGATGAAAGTGAAGCGACTGCATAACGAACTTGAAAATTATTTCATCTGTTCCTTTAATTACCCTTTAATGGAAGTAACTTAGACCGAGCCTTTGATCATTCATCGCGTACATAATATGCTACGCTAAAAGTCTTTATCTATTTTATTACAGCTATATTTTTTTAATATTCTTCCTTTTTTAATATAATATTAAAAAATTAGAGGGAAAACAATATGTCATAATTTCGTCGCTATATGTGTATAGGTATATTATTATCGTTTCTCCTTCTTTGCGTTCTTTTATCTTTTATCTCAACTTTAAGATTGATTGTTTTACTTTGCCGCAACATTCATGTCCCTCATGGCACAACGACAACCGAAATAAATGTTCGCATCAAAGAAGTCGCGAAGAGAGAAGAAGAGAAATAAAAAAACAGGACCTCAGTATCAGACAAATACTTTCGTGAAAATTTCTCGACGGACCGCTCGCTTTCATGACGAAGAATTTCCAAGTTATTTCGTTACGGATGCCATTTCGAGGCCGCCGAGTCGCGGTATCATCCGCGTGCTTCCACCGAGCTCTCTCACGCGAGGCAAAGGACTTAATAATGTTGCCAAGCACAAAGGTCAAGTCTCTTGCGCCGCGAGGCATTCGTGGCACTTTCGCGAAAAAAGGACAGAAAGCCCCCTCGGCACTTTCTCCTGGTTCCTACCAGCCTCTTCCGGCGTCCACATAGTCCGGGAAAACTTACCTTGGCGTTTTAATTTCGTTTACTCGGGGATGCTACCGAGGGAGAAAGAAAAAGACGGAGAATCGGAATCTACGAAGAGGGGAGAGAAGATAGTGGGAGTTGGGACTAGAGCAGAAGCCAGTGAATCGTTTGAAACACGTCGACGATTCCACAAAGGAAAAGGCGGTAAACTTTAAGCTGCTTTTTTTGACCAGAGGCTATCTAAAAAGGAAGGAACCGCTTTTCTCTTTAAGCAGTTATATGAGAAATGTAAAATATTACCGACCAAAAAGGATACGTATATGCGTTTAGCCGATAGGAAAAAGGTGGTAAAAAGTTGATTCCCCAAGATGTTTTATTTTTAAAATTCTCCTTTATACATCGTCTATCTATATATCTTCAAATTCCGAAAACTTGATCTTTTCTGTAATCCTTAAATATATATATATCTCTCTCTTAATAAATATTTAGACACATATCAATCTGTAGATTCTTAGATCTTTTAAAATCGAAATTAAGCCATGCATTATTAAAAACGCAAATGGTTAAATAGTCGTCGTAATCTCGTTTTCTTCTTTTAAAGATATAATCTTTCTTGGGTTAATTGGATACAGATTATTGATCAACGTAGATATTCAAGCAAGAAATATAATACTGAAACCAGCAAAGAGTCCTATAAAATATTATCCACAGTCGCGAATAAAAGAGCATTTCATTCATATTGATGCGCGGCTCAAACATTGATCCCCCGTGCAAGAAACCAGCAATATCGTTCGATTCGTGCTTGATCCCATTGCCGGCCGCATAACATTAATGCGTGCTTGGCTTATATGCACCATCCGGCAGTTGATTTTCATCGATAATGCGGGAATATCGTATTACGAGGCGCGGCGAGTGATCCGCGAGATTTTCCACATCATGCGCGTAGTACGGATCGATGTATTCGCGTCATTAGTAGTCATTGCGGAAAAAAAAGTAGGAGGGTAAGTCGACCTGCCTAAGCGCGTGCATCGCATTACGTTAGCAATCGATATTTTCCATTTTCTTCCCGATCGCTGACGTTACCCTTCCCCTCAACTGCCATTCTCTCTCCGTGTCCCGAGGGTGCACGACGTGTACCTGTCTATCGGAGACGTTTACGCTTACCAGGTCTGGAAGGACATTAACATGTGAAAGGTATAACCCAGTAATAACGGTCGGGATAGAGAATGCAAATGAGGGCGGATTGAATTTTTTAACTTTATCGAGAGTCAGCTATTGGCTTGCGAGCAGAAGAGAGGGGTTATATATTTCACAAAGTATGCAAATGTTGAATATAATCGAAGTTGCTGCGCTCAAGACTGTTCGGAAAGACTTGTTCTGAGGGTAAATATTGATCACGTACAAATATTTGGCTAATTACCTATATCATTGTCAAAAAATATTTTAGGAATTTTAAAAACAACAATATTAGTATTTTGATACTTGTCGTTGCCAAACACTTTTATTATCTCAACAAAAGTAATACTTTAATAAATGTTATATTGACTGAGGTGCAAACCTCTTTTACATCGTCGAGGATTACGTGTCAGAAATTAGATTGTGTCTATCGCTATATTGCAATGCTCGTGATCGATAGATAAAAGCGGCGGGATAATCGGCAATGACGGTGCCATCATAGTCGTTTTGCACTTTGGGTGATTTTCAAAGTCAAAGAGATTTCGGAACGAGGCACTGACACGCGGGCGTGTGCAAGAGGCGAGATCGAGCCGAGAGAAAGAGACGGGGCGAAAGAGAGAAAGGGCCTCATTGGCGAAGCGGACTGCGGGAAAATTGCGTTTCCCCGTTACGGCGAGATTAAAGTCCCGTCCCGCATTGCAGTTCCGCCCTGTTTCTTCCGGTGCCACCCTCGTACATAAGAACCGCAATTAACCCACGACGGTCACACGATCCCGGAGTCCACGGTCCCTCGCGGCTATTTGCAGTGTAAACGAAAAGTAAGGGAGCGCGAAAGATCGAGGGACCGACTCGGTCCGGCGATCGGCAAACAATTATTTTTCCTTCGCGCACGCGAAGGACAAACAGAATGTCGCGGCTGTCGCAAATGAGCAACCCTTTGCCTCGCCTTGGCGGAAAGAAGTCTTACTTCTACACGGCGAAATTTATTTTGCCCTGAGGCCAATGTATATGTCTTGTGTACGTGCGCGCGTTTCCTTTTCTCTCTATCGTACGTTATTAAAGAACACGCCGGAGGCTTTTTTCCCCCTTCAATAACCAATGTTAGTATTGTTTCGACAGACTTTGATCTAATCTAAAAGAGTTGTGGGATAATCTCCTTTTAGATCTTCTTCTTTTGCGCAAAAATTTATTTTAGTATTGTATCTGACCTAGTATCTAATTTCGACGTATTTTATCGACTTTTAATGCTGATGTATCATAGATAAAATGAATGAATAAATGGAACGGAATCGGATTTTGTACGCTAACTGAATAGGTTATATATATATATATATATATATATATATATATATATATATATAAATACACAATATATATATATAATATATAATTTAATTCATAATTACGAAAGTCTTAAATATAAATTACGTTTATTTCATATCTGTAGTCGCGCGTTTAAGGCGTCTCGACGGAAAACTGTCGGTGGCGCGAGTCGACGGGCGGGCCAATAATTAACAGTCGGAGCACAGAGTCGGCTCACGTAACGTGGAGCGAACGAAAGTTCCATAACAAAACTCGGTCATGCATGACCGTCGGTCTGCTGTTTTAATCGCGAGTAATCGACGTCTACCGAACGACCTGGACGCAACGGGCTAGTTCGCCGCGCGCGCCGTTATACACGCTCCCGAGGACAGTCGCTTTGGGACGAATTTATATAATTGAATTCGGTTCACTGGACTCCGCCCAGCACTCGAAACACCACGGCCGGCTAGTTTCGATGCGGAGCTACCGGGCTAACGAGAGAATAACAAGCAACGGCGAACGAACCGGACGCGGAATCGCTCGAGCCGGTCTGAATGTCGAAGAGTACCGGAGCGTGTCGGCGCGCGATGCGAGAAGAACACGGAAATAAAAAGACACGATGGGCGCTATGACGCTCGCATGAACAAACTATTGCATCGCGCAAACTAGTTCATTTTTTCTTTCTTCTTTTTACATACGTTTTCGATGTGCGGAGAAAGCACGCGTATGTTCTCTTAACTGCAGAAATTAAAAACACAAAGAATAACTGTACAGTTTGAATATCGAGAGATATTAATCTTTTATAACGTCAAACTAATTTTAGATGAGGTTTATTTCTGATAAAAATTTCTCTCCAAGATTACGATTTTTTTAGAAATTATTTAGAAGATTAAAACGGTGAAGAAAAGATCGATTTGAAGTTTCACAAAGAAGCTACCGTTAAAACTAATAGTTCCTCTATAAACTCTATAAAAATGCATAACCGGTTATTCCAAAAAGTTTACGTTCTCTTAGATAGATTTACTGTTTCCGATATTCACTTTCCAGCAACTGCTTTTATATAGCGGCAGAAAAAACAGGCGAATCGGACGTATCGAAACAACATCTTCGGCATATCGTTGTGCATCGATCTCCCTGCGGACTTAGCGACAAACGACCTTTTTCCATCGTCGGGCGTGCATATTTCACTCGGAAGCGTCACGGGAATATAGCCGACGCACGACGAAACTTAAATCAGGAATTCATAGATTCCGGCGTACTTTCTGCAAGAGCCCCGAAGCTCTTATAGAATCTTCTCCGTACCCTTCCAGACTCGCTCTTCCTTGAAGAAACACAACATTCCTATTTCACGTTCCCGCGGATAGCTTATTTTATTTTCCGACGTGTAACAGATCCAACTTATCGTAAAGTAAAGATCTCTAACCGGGAACATTGAAGCTATCCGTCTCTCATGCATTCTGTTATTTTAGGTAAAAAAAAAACATCCACAAAGAACGTGTGAAGAAGAAGAAATGAATAAACTGACCAATAAAATTTGTAGCATTGCATTGACAAGGTATGAACAGTTTATAGGATTGCGCTAGTCTTAAGAATTTTAAATATTCTCGTTTGGAAATTTTATCTTAAGCATTCCGGATTATGTTCTCGGTGAACGTTCGCACAAGAATCAAGTTGGCGTCAGCTTGCAAACTTATGCACGGAATAGATTTACAACGCGTTATATTAAGCGCAGCATTTATCGACGACACGTAGTTCGATACAAGTTTTCTCTATCCCACGTTCTGTCGAACGAGCTCGTAGTCATGGCAAAACTCAGGCGGAAACTGCGTTTTGTTGCGGGAGGGAAGAGATTGAATTCGCAAATATTGCCTCGAGACTTTCCTCGCAAGAGGCGTGCTAGAGAAAAATGGCGAAAATCTAGCACGGAAAGTTGAAAGTATCTATGTTCGCTGCTTTTCTCTTTTTCTTGACAAGATATATAAATATGGTATCAATGTGGCAACAAATCTAAATTACTACCAAGAAAAATTTCAATTTCGAAAATTAAATCTCTACATATATTATTATCTTCATATCTTTTTTAGAAAAAAAATATAATATTAAAATAATATAGATGTTTAATAATTTTATGTAACACACGAATTATGTATTCACAAACTAATATTTATTCGCGCAACAGCGTTTATCAACAGTGTTAATCAAAAAATATTTGACACCTTTGAAGATAACTTTCTAGATTTAACTCACGACAAAACTTTGAAATTGTTGATTTACAACGTATTTCGGACACATTCGGTACACCCTTATAAACTTGCACGTGTATACATATATATATGTACATACTCACCGCCAGCTTGAGAAGACGCTCGGAGGCCTTGGCTACGTCCATATTCTGCAACGCAAACGAGAGAGGCACGAGATTATTAATGTAGAAGGTAAATACGTGGGAAACGTGTGCGGAGAAGGGATGCGTTAAGAGAAAGAGAGGGCAGGAATGAGGCAGATATGCCCTAAAGCTGAACGCAAAACAAATGCGAGTTAGGAGGGCAGGTGTGAGAGGGTGAAACGTGCTACAAACTACAAAACGTAACTTTCTAATTGGATTTAAGATGCGTAAATACGATAAACTGTAAGATCGTTGGGACTGAATATTACTTCACGTACTTCGCATTCGAATAGCACAATTCGAAATTCGCAAAAAACATCACGATCGAGCGCAGCGATGGAAATTTTGAGCTGTGCGTCACAGTTAAATCGAATCAATAAATCGTCAATTCTTTTGAATTGAAAGGATGCAGCATTTATACGTATCTCTATACAACGTACTACGCTTTGCTGCAGCACAATTAAAGGTTTACTTACGGATGAACGCCCACACGAAATTAGATTAACGTCACTATCGAGGAAGCAAACCGCAAAATTTAATCCGCGTGTCGAAATGCGGTTATATGATATCGTTACTATTCTGTTATTATTTGAAAAATATCGTTTTAGTACTGATATTTTCGAGAACTGCATCAATCAAGAATGCGAGTAAAATTACGAGCATTAGGTTTTTGAATGAAATGTGTCTTAAATAAAAAAGTTTACAGTTTTTGTAAATTTAACTCGATAATTTAATTGTTATATTTTAAATGTTAGATCCGATTATTTATTATTCACTACGTTCAATTGAATCTATAAAAATAATCCTTTTTTCACACGATAATTTTAAAGCATTTCGATACAATTAGGTACATTAACTTATAAAATTAGAAAAATGCACGAAAAAATTTAAAGTGATGAAAAATTCGTCGAATTCGTTTACCTACGTAAATGATGAATAATATTCGTCTATCCTTATAAGCATATTATCGGTATCCAAATTGGCATATTCGCTGTGTGCAGAGACTAGTGGTGCCACGATTGGTGAAATATCGCACATTTTGCTGTGGAATAGCTGTCAGTGATTGTTAAATATTCGAGCTACGTAAACTGTCGTTAGATAACTTGAATCTTAATTTTACTGATGAAAAAATTGTTGTTATATTATATACAAATCGGGTTAAAATAGATTTTCGCTATATTTGTTTTAAATATAAGTTAATTTTTCTCTGACTTTTTGCAATGAGCCTTATCATACAAACGGGATTCGGGCCCATCACTCATGACATTGAATTTAATCCAAGTGCATTTAAAAAGAAAAGCCTTAGCAATATTGCATATAATTCGCGTTGAAAAATTGCGCAGTGCAAATATAAGTCATTTAATAAGGTGCAGTATGATGATGCAAACGTCTGTCAATGCTTTTGGAAATAAACAAAATAAATCATCTTCTGTGAAATACATATTTACACGAATGCACGCAATAATTTAAGTTTCTCTTTCGTAATTTTTCCATTACGATGTACTAGATTACTGGAAAATAATAACTGTCACTCCAGCAAATAATGCAAATTTCGGCCACCATGAGCGCCCTAACAATAAGTCCTACTTTTCCGCTATAGTATACCATCGCACGGAGCGAATAATTGACATATATTTATCGAAAACAGAATTTTGAATGACATAATTAAATTTAATATATGCGGATCCAATTGAATACTAGAATTAATCAACAAAGTTTAACGGAAATCCAGATGTTGTTAATTCACTTATAGCATGTTATTAAATTAAGCAACAAACTTTTAACTTAATTTAACAATAGCTTCTCCATCGGGCGAAGATACCCGTATGCTTCCTTTCCCCGATATAGATTTGCACTTGGTCTATGTCGAATGAGGAGCTTTGCCTTGATGGAATTGATATTTCGTGCACGGCGCTAATTGAACACGAGGGAAGGAAGCCGTCCCTCCGGCGTTTCGCTTAAGTGGCGGTTGTCGAGAGGTCCCTCCGAATGCTACAACAGCCAGCTAGCCGCGCTTGTATACCAGGTTTGCAAATAAATACCTTCAGAGCTTCCTCGCGACTTCAACACATCATTACTATGCGTATATGCACGCGCCAATGGCCGCATTCCTCCTTAAACTGCGGCATCTCTTTGTAAAGGGAACGTAAAGGGAAAATGCGAGTCTCGAAATATTTCATTTAGAAAGCTATGCATATATTTTTACGTATAGTTTATAAACTCTTTTCAATAAACTTGAATTTAAATGAAAATATTTCCGGTTATAATTTTTTTTATAAAACACAAATTTATAATAATAATCTCTATTTGGATTTCTAAATACAATCTCATTTTTACTGTAATATGCAAAAATAAACACACATTTGAAAATTAATTATATATTTATATTTATGTAGCAAATTAAAAGTCGTGACAACGCATTTCACGTCCCAATTTGTCAGTAAATAACAGATTCAATATGACAATGAAACACACGCAACTGGATCATGCTAATTGCAATTATCGTGACGTATTGCCGTTATTACAGTTAATATTCTGCAGCACACGTGTCGCGACAGTATCATAATGTTAATTAAATTACTCGCATTTGTCGCTGTTGCGACAACGGGATAAATGGAAAAACGGCGAAGGCGAAATGTAGAATGATACTATTATCTAGTGATCCGCAAGTTAATGTCATATGAAACGACGTAACGTATTGCACGTTTCATCTGCTTGTATACTATCAATAGATGATATATTCAATTATTGCAGTGGTTTCACCGTGATACGTAGAAGCTTGGAAATTAATTGCGGCGAATTACTGGCTTGAAAGGACGCGATTCAAGCAAGTGATACTAAAATTTAAAGACTATACCATAAACAAACGCTTACGTCATGAAGAAAATAATTTTTTTACGACAGCAACAAGTTGTCCCAACGAGGACGTTTCCTTAGCGCCAACTTTACAGCTCAGTTTAATGAGGCACGATACGTTAGGCGGCCTGATAATTACGAGCTGGGGCAAGTGGCGAGCTCAGCTTGCGCCGCGCATCTGCTATAAAACACGACTTTCCTGCGTGTAATTGAACAATTAAAAGAAGCTTCTTAAAAGAATAACGACGGTAAGAAGAATTTAAAAAAGGCAGATCGAAACAAGAAAAACAGTCGTTAATGAAAAATCCAAGGCGCCATTATCAATATAAGATCACTTATATAGGCGCCTCGGAAAAAAAACGAGCTGGTTGAATTTGTATTCTCATGAAATCACGGCATCCCAAATGATTGCATTCCGACCGTAGTTGCGAGGGTACTCGGTGGTTCGAGAGAGCCTTCGCGAATGAATAGCAGCACTCGAGATGCAGACGAAAGAAGGGGAAAGTGAAGGGCATCCAAGGGATCGAAAATAAAAGCGGGGTAGATTTTCCTCCGGGCGATCACGTCTGAAACGTCTCACGTAGATATCCGAGCCACATTTCTCTCTTTTCTTTCTCTTATTCCATTTCTTCCTCGTTCTCTTTATCCATCCTGTTTCCGCTGTGTTTGTGTAACGCGAACGATCAAAGCATATTGGTCTTTGAATGAATAGTAAAGCCGCGCGAGAAGAAAGCGCGCTTTTACCATGCTTTATCATGCATTGTAATTCTCACACATGTTGTAAGAAACAATACTTTTTTTTACAGATGTACAGTTAATAATAAAAATTGAATACGTCATGATCGTAAAAATACCAATAACATATCCGCCAAATGTTAATAAATTGAACGTAAGCACGCGAGTTAAACGCAAGAAATAATCTGCCAAAATATTTAAAACCGCAGCAAATTTGAAAAGCTATAACTGTACTGATGCAGTTCAGAAATTTTTCTTTTTCGCAACACTCCTCCTTCATCTTTTCTATCCGTCTTTATTCGATACAGTCGATCGATATGATATACAGTCGAACGTTGTCATCCTTTTCGCAGCGGTATGAAACCGAACACTGCTCGTGGCACTTCAACGAATATATACGTTGCGGAACTCCGGAATGCGAGAGAGAATAAAAAAACGAAGAAGAAATAAACGCGAGAAGGAAAGGAAAAAGTGAGAAAAAAATTTCCTCGACGTCGTACTGTCGAGGAAACGAAGCGACCTCATCCGATCCTCTCATCGCTGTTGGTCGTTTCCTTCGCGCGTCGTCGTTTCAATTAGCACCGAGAGATTTACGACTTTGCATCCGCGAACATCTTGTCCCGTTGAGAAGAGTCCTCGAGATATACTAGAAATTCGCTTCAGACGGATTGAATCCGGGGTTGGCCGACAATGGCGTGGCGAACGAGAGGTACTTATGTAGACATCGCGTCACCCTTTGGCCGAAAGGCCGATCCTTTATCACCCACGCAGATGCTTTGGTAGATGCTTTATAGAGATTTTATAGACGAGGTAGAACGAAAGGACGAGTAGTCGATAGGAGATTCGTGGGAGTTTTTCTAAATCAGCAAGTTTTTCGAATAAAATTTCTTATTGGCTCGGATGTAATCACGATAAGTCGGTTTTAACATAAATTTTTTTTATTAAGCGGTCTGATAGATCATGGCATACTTTCTTTGTAAACTTTTTGAATTTTTGCAATATCTTCAAAATTGAAGAAAATATAGTACACGAAAATGTGCTGTGACGTCATTTCTTATATAAGAAATGACGTCATACCTTTTAAAGTTGCCGTCATCAAAGAAACTTTAGCAAGCTATAACTTTCTCAAATTTAGGTTTTTTTTTTAATTCAAAAAGTATTAAAAATCGGCTTAGATTCTCTACATTAATTATAGATACTGCTTAATAAAAAAAAATGTTAAAACCGAATTATGTAACAAAAATGATGATTTAATTGAATCAAGATACTCGACCAAGCTTTTACTTATAAACACCGAAACCTTTTTCTCTTCAAAGAATAAAGTTAAATGTTTGTCTTATTGTGTGTTTAATATTAAATATACATTCAGAATATAGAACGAAGATATAAAGATCTTTATTCGAATAGTTTAAACG